CTTTTTTTTTTTTTTTTTTGGAACTAGCGGCTCCTGGCGGAAAAAAAACCGCATACGGAGTGAGACCTGCCAAAACCACTGCTAGCTTTCTCGCGTACGTAAAACGTATTACGTATTGAACTATACGTTACACGCCATACGGAAGGCCTTGCCAAAACTCTCTTTTGTGAAATATACGTATGTTAAGATACTTCATGGTATATTACCACTTCATGGGATAAATGCTCATGTTGATATTTATGAATAATATAGACAGGTATAAATATAGCCGCATAAACTATCTTCGGGATGTGCACATGACCAAGCCTTTATTATGCTCCTCAAAAACCTGCAAGGCACCATATATTACTAAGTAGTAAGTACTGTACACAATTGCTATGTTGAATATTTCTATGTAGGCCATAGCGTGCTTAAACATCGTAGGGCAATTGTAAGCATTTCATAAATCTAGTAACTCAACAGGGAAGAGGAAAATATGTCCAAGTAAAATACAGAGCCTTCATTGTCTCCATAGCACGGTTATTTACGGTGTAGAACTAACGCGATTTGGCTATAATATTAAACTGTTTAGGGTGCAGTACAAGCCCGGGTTCAGGAGCCAAATCATAAGTTTCCCCAGGCACTTTCTCAAAATGACAACGTTGAACGACAGTTGCCACAAAAAGAAAAAGTTCCCATCGCGCCTGTAATTCCCCTAAACAGCGCCGTTTGCCGGCACTAAAAGGCAGGAAACTCTTGGCGAGCGTCTCGTTCACCGTGTTCTCTGGCGTTAAGAAGCGCTCTGGTCTGAAAACATGGGGGTCCGACCAAATTTTTTCATCGTGACTTATCGAAAACAAATTCGGCATCACCCACGTGCCTCTAGGGATATGATAGCCATACAGAGTAGTGTCCTTGGTGGTAGCATGAGGCAAGGACAGTGGGGCAATTGAGGATTTCCTCAGCGTCTCCAAGATGAACGCCTCTGTGTACGGTAAAGATCCCATGTCATCCAGTCGCGGATTTCGCGCTGGACCAATGACGTCATCGACTTCTTTTTGCAGACGTTCTTGTATTTTGGGATCCATTATCATATAGAGCAGAGCCCATGTTAGCGTCACCGACACAGTGACTGTTCCTGCTCGAAGTAAATCTGCAGCTATGTTAGTGATATGCTCGTCTTTGAGTTGCACTTCTTGTTTAATTTCTTCGTTCATTTCACGGCAGGTTTTAATGAAAGAATCCAGTATGTCCCGCACGTGACCTTCCTCAAAAGTTGCGAGGTGCTCTCTCTCTTGTCGACTTAGAATGGATTGCAGGGTGTAATTCACTTCAATGAAACTTTTCAGTTTGTCTTTCCATAGAAATCGAAGCCATGGCAAAATATCAATTCTACCTCGTCTTCATTCACAACAGGGCTTACGTGAGATGGAACCGAGACCGCGCATGCTCAGTGAACTAGACTTCGTGCTCTCAGGTTGCACTGCGTAATTTTTGCTCCGCGACTTTCCGTTAATTTCTCAGAACTGGTGTGTTTTTTCTTGATTATCGTTTGACTTTAGAAGATTGGACACTTTATTACGTCGATTTGGTTACTTTTACGCACTCTGGAACGGTGTTTTGACTGGACTGCGTTCATCTGATCGTTGGCTACGAGCTCTCTGGCCATTGTCAATATGGCGGCCAAGGAGGCCAAGTCGTTGTTTGAGCAACTGACAGCGGACATTAGCGGTCAGCCTAGTCAGGCGGTCCCCACAGGGGATGTAGCTACAGCAAGCTGTAGCAAAGCCGCACGCCCTGACGATAGATCCACCGGATCGAAATCGTCGGGGAAAGCTACGAGAGCCAGCAGTAAGTCGGCTACCCACAAGGAGGCGCCTACTCCTAGCACTTCATCGGTAACGGCGCGGGACGTGGGGTCTCTCATGGACGATTTGAAATCTGATCTAGCATCCAGTCTGGCAGAGATGCAGACTGTGTTTTTTGATGCCCTCAAAGAGAGAGATGATCGTTTTGAGCGTCTACTTGCTCACCTTGATGTGACCACAGGTCATTCTACTTCTACATTGGGCCCCGGAAATGATCCACAGGATATTTCCGTGGGGGAAGCAGAGCCCACAGGGCAAAACAAAGCGGACGATCATTTTTATGATGTAATCAGCGCTGAGCTGACCGGAGTCGACAGAGTGGGGCCAGCTGTATCTGAGCCGCTTGTGCAACTAATTACGGACATCTGCCAGGAACAAATGCCTGAAGATAAGCTGACAGCTTTGCGCCACAAACACGAGAGGCCGGCCAACATCAAAGGATTAACCGCCCCTCGCGTTAACCCTGAGATTTGGACTGGACTGAATGCGTCTCAGAGGTCTACAGACCTCAGGTTGGCCAATATCCAGGATTGTGTTTTGAGGGGAATGACCCCCCTCATCCAGTTGTTAAACATACTGGACACTCAAAGAGAGACTGGGGACCCCAAAGAGTTAGTTCAACTAGTCGGCGACAGCCTTCGTTTACTGTCCCAGAGCAACAATAGCCTTAATCAACAGAGAAGAGAAAATCTCAAATTTACAATTGCGCCGGGGTATCGGCACCTGTGTTCTGCCGCGACGCCAGTTACGGAGTACCTCTTCGGGGACAACTTGCCGTCAGTGGTGAAATCTATCACCGAAGCTAACAACGCTAGTCTTCGCCTAAGCGGTGGGTTTCGTAATAGACGGGATTCTCCTTCACGTCGAGGTGGCTTGAGCGGTAGCGCCCCCTATCGTCCGCAACAGACTTCGGACAGGAGAGGGTCACCCTACTCTGACTTACGGCATTTAAACTACGGAGAAAGTGCGTATTCCGCAAGGAAAAAGGGGAGAGGGAAATCCAGCCGTCGGTGAATGTGGTGAGTAACGGTTTTCCCACAAACTCTGTTTCACATGTGCCGCCTAGCGTTTCCAAGATGGCGGCCCCATTGTCTGTTCTGATACTCACGTAAATGCGATCCTAACTGTTCAGCCACCATTTCATGCGAGCCAAATTAAAGAAGCGGTTCATGAATGGAAACAACTTACATCGGATAAAAGCATTTTACAAATGGTTCAGGGCATTATAATTCCATTTGAGGACGGTTGTGCTCCCCGGCAACTCTGTGTTCCTTCGGAAATTTGTTTTGACCAAAAGGAGATGATTGTCATCGATGAATTGTTGAATAACTTTTTGGATAAAGACATTATCACTCCTGCCATTCACAGTGAAGGTGAATTTCTGTCTAATATTTTTATCACACCGAAGACAGATGGCTCTTTTAGATTGATTTTAAATCTTAAACACTTGAATGAGTCAGTAGAATATGCACATTTTAAAATGGATTCACTTTACAGTGCTTTAGCCATGATGAAACCAGGTTGTTTTATGGCTAGTGCGGATATTAAGGACGCTTACTATTCAGTACCTGTTCACTTAGATCATCAGAAATACCTTAGATTTACATGGAGGGGCAACCTTTTTCAGTTTACCTGTATGCCTATGGGGTTAGCCTGTGCTCCTCGATTTTTTACTAAATTACTTAAACCTGTGTATGCCTCATTACGGAATAAGGGACACCAGTCTGTTGGGTATATAGATGATTGTTACTTACAAGGGGATACTTTTGAGGACTGCATGGATAATGTTAGAGAGACAGTGGGGCTTCTGTCTAGGCTGGGTTTCACCATTAATGTGGACAAGTCTGCCCTTATGCCCAAGCAAACAATTACCTTTTTAGGGTTCATCTTAGATTCCACTAACATGTCAGTTAAGTTAACTGAAAAGAAGGCACTTAAAATCCAGTTGGAATGTTCTCAACTGTTATGCAAAACTTATGTTACTATCAGGGAGTTAGCGGTAGTCATTGGTTTGTTAGTAGCCAGTCTCCCTGCAGTCGAATATGGGAAACTGTTTTATCGCTCCTTAGAGATGGCAAAAATTGAAGCTCTGCGATCACATGGTGGGAATTTTGAAAGTAAAATTACTCTCCCTAGGTTAGCTAGGGCAGATTTGCAATGGTGGATAGAGAATGTTGCGTTAGCTTCCAACCCTATTTGGCATGGAAACCCAACTATTATCATGCAAACGGATGCGTCTAGGTTAGGTTGGGGAGCCCAGTGTGCAGGGGTGTCCACTGGGGGAAGGTGGAGCTTTATCGAGACTATCCATCATATTAATTATCTAGAACTGTTCGCAGTGTTTCTAGGTTTTAAAATCTCTCTGCTCCGAGTTTACTGATTGTCATATACAGGTACAGTCAGATAATACCACCTCAGTGTGTTATGTTAATGAAATGGGTGGATGTAAATCAATTTTGTGCAACAGTTTAGCTAGAGATATTATTTTATGGTGCAAAGCTAGAAATATTTGGCTAACGGCAGCATATTTGCCAGGTTCACTTAACATTGTTGCTGACAGAGAATCTAGAGTGTTTCATGATGACACTGAATGGATGTTGGACATAGATACTTATAGGAAGGTAACTATGATAGTCGGAGAACCTGACATTGATTTGTTTGCTTCGCGCTTGAATTGTCAGTTACAACCATATGTGTCATGGAGACCTGACCCAGAAGCTCACTTCATCGATGCATTTAGCATAGACTGGTACTCCTTTTACTTTTATGCTTTTCCTCCTTTCAGCTTGATAGCGAAATGCCTCCAGAAAATTGTCCAAGACAGGGCGACAGGGATACTGATAGTACCATGTTGGAAGACACAGGTCTGGTTTCCAAAACTGCTAACTCTATTGACAGCCAACCCTCTTTTGTTGCAAAAGAGGAAGAGGTTGCTGGTGCTTCCATACAGCCAAGCAAGTCATCCATTATGCAACAGTCTCAATCTACTTGCATGCCCCTTGTCAGGGATGCCCTCAAAGAGCAACAAATATCAGAACCAGCTATCAACATCATCCCACGATCATGGAGAGATTCATCGCATAAACAATATAGGACGTATCTCACAAAGTGGCAACTTTTCTGTTCTAAGAGGGAAATTAATTCCATTCGACCTCCCATAGGAGATGCCTTGGATTTTCTAGTGGAACTATTCCATTCCGGTCTTAGCTATAGTGCGTTGAATACAGCCAGATCGGCATTATCTGCGGTGCTGATTATGGAATCTGGAATTCCTTTTGGGGCCATGCCTATTGTGAAACGCTTTATTAAAGCAGTTTACCAATCCAAACCTCCATCTCCTAGGTATCACTGCATTTGGGATGTTAAAGTGGTTCTAGATTATTTGTGTACTCTACCTATTGTATCTAGATTGTCTCTGAAGGATCTCACACTAAAACTTATTGTTTTAATGGCTCTTACCTCTGCTCAATGGGGACAGACTTTACACTTACTGAACACTGGTGACATGCATATTGGGAAAGCTTCGTATACATTTACAATTCACCAACACATTAAGCAAAGCAGGCCTAGGACTACCTTACCTGCCATTAAATTTTCGGCTTATCCTGTTAATAAAAAGTTGTGTGTGGTGAACTGTTTATCGGAATATTTACTTAGAACCCAATCTTTGAGAAAGGAAGGAGATAGACTTTTTGTTAGCTATACTAAGCCTCATGGTGTTGTAGGGAGAGAAACCGTTAGTAGATGGATCAAAGTTATGCTAGCCAGAGCTGGAATAGATATTACTATTTTTAAGGCTCATAGTACTAGAGCAGCAGCTACTTCTGCAGCTTTTAGGGCAACGGTCCCGTTAGAAGACATTTTGAATAAAGCGGGATGGTCCAATGCCAGTACTTTTGCTCGTTTTTATAACAAGCCTATAGTTAGTCAGAATTCATTTAGTGATACCTTATTACGGTCAATCAATACTAAGTAATTATATTATGGTATATTAGAATTTGAGGATGTTTTTATTGTCATCAGTTCTAGACAGTAACGGTCATAGAACGTTGTTGCTTATGGGTATTGATTTTACCACCTTCAACATATTATTGGTGGAGCACATATGTGTATCTTTTTCATGCTTCTAGACATATTACAATTTGTTTCATCTCCATTGGTTGTTGTTTGTTTTTTGGGAATTTGTGTGTACTTGTCATGAACTTTAAAATCTCACGTAAGCCCTGTTGTGAATGAAGACGAGGTAGAATTTTACAGTTAAACGAGACTTACCTGTAAGTTGAAGTTTGACTATGATTCTACCGAGTCTTCAGGAACAGAGGGTTTACGTGCCCTACCCTCCCTACCCAGTTACACAGTTTATTCATGACAACCACACACCTTTAAAACCTGAGCATGCGCGGTCTCGGTTCCATCTCACGTAAACCCTCTGTTCCTGAAGACTCGGTAGAATCATAGTCAAACTTCAACTTACAGGTAAGTCTCGTTTAACTGTAAAATCAAATTACACGCCGCAACATTCTGAGTAAAGTCGCGGACGCTTTTGATCAGTTTCAGATATTCAGCATTGCTGCGGCCTAACGTGTGATCCGAGAAACACAAACCGAATGTTATAGAACCAAGTGAAAGATATACGCTGTTTTCTGGATTGAAAGGCTTTCCGCTATTGCCCAAGAACGTCTCTACCAGATATATTGCTTCTTCCGTCATCGCAATCTCAACAGGGTGAACCTTGTCCTTTAAAAACGCATGCAGTCCGTTTAAGGCAATGGTTCTTCTCACTTTCCAACGAGGACCAACATCGCAGAAGGCCATGCTTTTACCGTTTTCAATGAACTGAAACGTATGAAAACTCGGCCGTCCTACAATAAAAATTTAAATATTACAAAAATAAAATGCTTTTAGAAGTACAAGTCTATTGCAATTCTTCATTACATTTCAGCGACCTGCGCATGCTAATCTACACGTTAGTTATTCTACCTTGACTCTTTTTACACAGACGGCGCATTTCACATTGCAACCAACACGAAAAGCTGCATACGATGGAAAAGATGTTCGCAAATCACAACAAATATTTATATGTATTGTCATGGATGCATGGTTTCAGTTTTTCTCTTGTTGTTGACCACTATGCAAATCCACCAATCAGATTTCTGAATGAATTCTAAAATTTATCCCAATTTATTAAAATGAAGTTCTGTAAGGCTACTAAAGCAATAACCTAACAGTTAATAGTCAGACTGTAATTCCACATATAAGATGCAAGATATTAAGTAAACTAATAGATATGAAATCACCCACAACTGTTTCCTTTGATCTTTAAAAACTGAAATGATGTAAGACATCTAGGTCCTAACCCAACAGGTGTCTTTCTTACCTGCAAAGTTTTCCCCTAGTTGAACTAAGGCGTGGCGAACGGTCTCCAGTCCATTCAGAACGACGGCTCTATGCACTCCTATTTTCAGGCAATACACGTCGCCGTACGTCTTCCTTAGCTCCGTCAGAACAAGGTGCCTGTTCGTCTTCAGTTTAGGGAGATATCCAATAAATGGCCACCCCCAAGGACCAGGAGGGAGCAGTCTGAAGATTCTGTACCATTTCCATAATCTGAAGATAATAGAAGATGACAGACCCACAATAAGTGCCGTAACTATCGCCTGGTACAAAACTTCGTGATCGGCCATATTTTCTTTTCGTTTTGCCTTCGTGTGACACCCTCCTTGGTTCAGCTCAGTTCAAATTTGCATGACACTTTAGATGTAAGCAGTCCCGCAGGCGTACCCATGGACGCACTATGCGTGTAAAATTTAATTTGCCTTAATGGCCTTATTAGGCGATAGATACAGTACGAGTCGCCGAGCTGTACGTGAAATATTACGATTGTAGAGCCACAGGCGAAACAATTAACACACGAGTAATATTCACGTACAGCTCGGCGACGAGTGTTTTATATGGCTTGAACAACGACCTCTGATTGGCTACTACACTGCCCTTGCGATATTTTATTCATACATATTAGGGGCCCTTGTGGTCCCTTAGACCCCATTCCCAGAGCTTTTAGATCGATCTATCCCCGCGGGGGGTCTCACTAGATTACTGTCAGAGAATCCGGCTTAAATGCCCGTCCCGCCTACTACAAGCTGTAAGGGGGTAATTAACTTTCGTGCCCGCTCGGCGTTAGGGAGTTAGGTCGATCTAAAGTAGAACGATCTAATCTCTGGGTATGGGGTCTTAGACCCCATTCCCACAGATTTTAGATCGATCTATCTCTCTGGGGAGTCTCACTAGATTACTGTCAGCTTAGCCGGCTACTAAAAGCTGTAAGGGGGTAATTAACTGCTGTGCGCGCTCGGCTGGCTGCAATTTAGCGTGAACTCCCAGGGAATTAGGTCGATCCGGATAGGTCGATCTAAATCTCTGGGGATGCACTCTTATTCCTGTGTTGCACGATGGAGGACAAGGCTGAACACGCCTTTACAGACCCCTCGACCAAACCAGCCGCTTCCAGCAGCAGCAGTAGCAGCAGCACCACCGCCACCAGCAGCAGCAACAGTTTAGATACTGAGAAGTTCCCCCCATAAAGAAGAGAAAAAAAACACTACTTCTTCTCCCCGTCATGTAATGATAATAAGGATACCTTGAAACTTCATGTGCCTTCACAGATTAGGAAAATTGTCATTGTCAAAGAAGGTAGGAAATTTACTTTGGAAGTTTAGATTTCTTAACTTTCGTTTTCACATTCTGTATTGTGAGTAACTTGTCGTTCAAATTCGAAAACGGAACATTTTTCGGGGGTTAATGCTGTTCCATGATATCAAAAGTTTGAGAAACGACTTTTTTGCACTGTTGTCTGTTCCGTGGTGGGTGCTAGGACCCGATATACACGTAACTTGTATGTCGAATACAGCACGGCCGAGTCTTTTGTTCTACGCGCTAGCTGTGGTTTAAAGGGTATGACAGCTCTTCAAATGAGATTCAAAATTCCACAATAAATACATTGAAAACAACACATCCATAGAAATATAATAAAGTCAATTTTACCACCAAAAAGGCGGTTAAGGCAAGTATTCTGATATCTGTGCTCGACACTGGGCCACGTGGACCTTCATAGATGGTTATCATCCGAAATACTCTTAAGATTAAAAAAATAATAAATAAATAAATAAGACAAGAGAAAAACAAATTAAAAAATCGACTAACTTCGAATATCCAAACGGATTGATTAATCTTAGGTAAATGTGTACAGGGGCGGATTTAGGCCGTCTTCTGGGTCTTCCGGAAGACGGTCAGATTTTCAAGTTTACATTGATGGGTATCTAATTTTTTCTGTCGGAAGACGGTCAAAAATGAAGGATAAATCAACAAAGATAACTTGGAAGACTGTCAGAAAATGTCTTTGGGTCCGCCCCTGGTGTAAGCATTGTCGTTTACCCCAGGAAAATCTGTCTCTGCCACTTTTCCCGTCAAAAATGAAAGAGTTGTTATCCCTTTAACTTCATAATGCAGGCCAGTGTTTCATTCGTCCGAGTTAAAATCAATCAATTTGTTATCACTGCAGTCTGACATTTTGACAAAACAATTTTCACTGCCAGATATATTGAATATATATAATAAACCACAAGAGTTCTATATTTATCTCCGTTTTCAGAGAATTGAATATTTTTTAATACTTTTGCCGGGCATACTGCTACTTAGCCAGCTAGCTCATGCGAAGATATACTGTAAAGTATACCATGTAAGGCTTAACGCAGTGCATTGTCTGTTTTATTTATCTAGCATGGGTTTTAACCCAGGTCACGTCAGGTCAGGCCAACACTAGTCAGTAGCTCCCTGTACCTGTTCGCCCTGACAATAAGGATAACTGCAACAAAGCCAGCAGTGCAAGGCGAAACATTTATTTCAAGTGCATGTCGATTATCTAAAAAGGGGTCAGTGCTTTCATCTCAAGTTTCATTCTATTGTGCCATTATATGTACTTTTCGCGTCCCCTTGTACAACTAAACGCAACTTCACTTTCCAAATGCAGACCTTAAAAACGATAAGACTCAAAAAAAAAAAAAAAAAAAAAAAAAAANGGCCTACACGGTGTGATAGCGATGATTCTGAGCGGGGTTGGAAAGTAGTGCTTCTCATCTCAAAATTCATATCCTTTTCTTTTGAAAAATGCATATTTTGGTCTAACTGACTGGCCGGTTGTAAGGCACTGTATCAATTTGACAGGGCTGGGTCGAACAATGAATCGTGAACCGCAGAAATTCGTTTCCTTAAATATTTCGAGGAAAATTCGGTTTGGCAGGAAAATTCCAAAATATACACTGGGGATAAAATTGCAAACTTTCCTTTGATAAGGCCTTTCAACCAGTTTTATAAGAATAAGAATAGCAATCAGATAAACTTAATGTAAACTGATGCGATGATAAATGCTGTATGTATCCATATGGATACAGCATTATCAGTGAAATTGGCCAAGAATACGAAGCAAATCCCTTCTTCTCCCCAGCCTATCATACCTGTAGTTGCAGCAATGATATCCGTGAATCAGTGAGGTAATAAAATATATATATATAATCACGACAAGTTGTCGCAGACTCGTGTGCATCAGGGGCGGTTCCAGGATTATTTGAAGGGAGGGCGGAGGTTGCGAAATAGCCCCCCCCCCCGCCCCACTTGGTGTGGGGTTCGGGGCCCTTCAGCGTGCTCCGAAAAAAGCATGGGTATTTTAGAGGGGGAACGGTACCATTTGGTACGGTTTAGTACTATGATAAGATCAGCTGGTCAAAATTCTGATTTCAAGGGACCAGAAATCGAAGGACGCCCCCTCTAAATCCGCCACTGTATCATCCACATGACATCAACAGAAATGAAGATTATGATTAGAAGGAGAAAAAAAGAAAAGAAAAAAGAAAACCAACAGTTAAAGTACGCACTCACATCGAGAATCTACATGTACGTATGTCCACAGACTTCAAATTAAACTTTGTAAGTGTTTAATCACCGATAATTCAAATCTGGAAAACTTTTAAAACAATTTTACACTGGTTAAGAGTCACGTCACAAAAAGATCGAACATCAGAATGCAAAATGTTTTGCATGTACGTCATGTGCGAAGGTCTTCATGCAAAATATGCAAAATATCCTTTCTTTAGACGAATTAAGTACACGGGAGAGATTTTCATTTAGCAAGTGGTCAACCCATGCATGGACAGAAATAGTTAACAATCTTTCTATGAAATGATAAATAAATAAATAAATAAGTAAATAAATAAAATAAGCTAACCTAAAACTTCTCTAGGAACATTTAGTCCTCCCGGACCTAAAATGAACTAATTAAATATAAATTAGATATAAATGTGTTTTTCAGTGCTACAAAGTACACGTAGGCTTAATTTGGCTCACTAGATTGAAACCAGGATGTGGAATGTCGTCATCTAACTATAGCTTACGTTTCCTTAAAATATAGAGATTAAATATGTAGATATATTTAAAAATTAACTGGGGTGTTGCATTTTGTAATTAATCGTTATAATAATAATAATAATAATAATAATAATAATAATAATGGTTCAATGCAGATATTTATTATATATATGAATGACATATCAAAAACTTTATTACTCTTTTTCTCTTAGTGTGCCTCGTTCAAGCGAAATTCTGCAAATGTTCTTCAAGAAGTGACATATAAAAGATTTAGCCTACATGCTGTGTAAATGTGGAAATGAACTCCCTATAGAAACATCTAGCGGGATCTGCAGGGCCTCACGTAGACTAAAGCTAGGGTAATCTTGAAGGAGAGAATTGTAATTTAAACGTCACTTTAGAATAGCAAACTGACCCTGTCTTCTGTCAGTTTAAAAATTATTCAATGCGTCATCGTCATGTGCACTTAATGTATACTTGTACATGTAGATACACGTCAGATTTAAAGCGGGGACCCTTAAATTATAAAAGCATTTGTCTAATGACATGTCGTCATTAAGATTAAGGTAAGCACAGGTAAGAAGTCATTTTTCTTTCTTTTTTATTATATTTTTTAAGTAATGATTTTTTATTAAAGTGAAACATTTAGAGTTTAGCCGTTCTGTCAATGTTTAACCACCTTTGTTGACAAATCCACGCCCATGGATGTTTACGGTGTTCCGTCGATTGTTGTCTACCATAAAGTTCTACATATATTTAGGCAATGGGTTGATAAAATTTTCTGACTGAATGATATTTTTGTTCTTAGTACTAACTGCTACATGCTACATGTTCTGACTATCTCTTTCCTAGATAAATTCGTACAGACAAAGCTGTACAGACAAAGCTCAAAGATTGCAAAGGGAGGATAAACGAAAGAAGTAACAGCATTGAAGAAATATAGGTCAATTGAAAGCGAGACTAGTTTAATCCTCACTGAAACTTACGCATTTCACCTGCAAAAGGAAATAATTTAAACAGGTAAGTGAACCTATTCTGCTTTGATTATATCAATATTATATTTTAATGTAAATCTTGTGTGTCTAATGTATTTAACTAAGTAAACTTAAAGAATCGTGAACCACTAACGCGCCAGAGTTTACTGAGCAGGCATCGTGATGGTGATGATGGTTTAAAATACCCCAATATTCCTCTCGATCATACGGGTGGGTTGGGTTTGTGGGGTGGGGTCGTCTTAGGTAGTCAGAATCTGAATCGTGCCAGACCATATATGATGTAGGCTTTAACATGTAGGGGATATAACTGGAGAGAATAGACCCCGGTACATGGAAGACAAATTCATGTAGTAGCACTCCCACTTAAAACTAACTCAAGAATTTTCATACTACCGCTAGTAGAGGAGATCAGCATTTGTTTAGATTAGAAATGGAAATGGCATTTGTTTAATAATGAAAACTGATTTTATTTTATTTATTATCTTTATTTGTCTCTGGGTGTCTTAGCCATGTATCTTATATTTTAGTTACTGTACATTCTGTTTTATGATGGCTGGACATGAGAAGAAAGTGATATTCACTCTCACCTTGAATTCAGCATGCCGATAGATTCAATAAAATGAAGCTGTCCTCATTAGTTTTTGCCCCTGATGTAAACAACAGTGTTGTGGGTGTTTAAAAGCACTGGGAATATTTGTATGCTCCCTGAAATCCCCTGTTGTCGGATTTATATTTATCACAAACAGGAAAAGATCACAACCTCTAGACATAAAGTGGCCAAGGTTAGATCTTCAATATTGGTTTATATATGCCAAATAGGATTTGTTTGATAAGATACCTTCTTTGAACAGATGTTTCAGTATATTTGATCAGATATATTGATGTCAGTGGCATCATTGCTGTCAAATCTACTCGCCTACTAGTAATGATATTTATATTGATTGAGGTGAAGCCTAATCTTGATTATTAGTCATAGTTGCAGCAGTGAATAACATTAAGAGTATAAGCTTGATTTATCGCTCGTGAAGTACATGTTACTGATGTGAGTTTTATCAAGTTGCTGAAAGCTGCTAGTATCTGATAAGTTATCTAGATTCAGATTTATTCCCTCCCCCACCTCTCCCTCTCTCTCTCTCTCTCTTTCTGTCACTCTCTTTCTCTCATTCTCTCTCTCTTTCTCTTTCTCTCATTCTCTTTCTCTCATTCTCTCTTTCTCTCTCTCTCTCTCTCACACACACACACACACACACATTTAAAGAGTTGACAGATTTCATAGGAACAGCTTTGATTCATTTTATGTTTTCCAAATAATGAATCTTCTGTAAAACATTTTGAAAGTTGATTCCTTTGGGTATAAATGCAAGTTAAACTCGAAATGTTTTTGTGGCAGACTGCAAATGTTTGTGTGAAAAAATTAGACATCAAAATGAGAAAGGCTGTTGAATTTAATGATTATTTTGGTAATTTACTTTTTAAAAAACTAGTACTAGAAGCCATGTGTTATAAAGGCCCCCTGCTGGTTACTCTGTTGACCAGTATCACTTTCAACTAGAAATTTTTGATCTCTTAGTTATGTCCTATCAGCCCTATGCCCAACACTTATGTAATTTAATTCCTAACATACCAGATAAATGCACCCGTTCTGTATCATATAGTTAGTCCAGGTATTCCTATTTGGCGCCATTCAGATATTTATCACATATATCTGTTACAAGAGCTGCATTGGGCAGTCAGCTTGGAAAATCAAAGACTGTTCTTATATGGTACTTCCCCATACAATTTGTATGTACTAGTACCTAACTTAAAGTAAATACATGTAATTTTTTTGTTCAAAAAATTTGCACACTCATCTTCAAATATCTTTGAAAAAAAAAATCATTTTGCTACTAGTTACCCAAGAAACATTTTTGTTAATGCTGAAAGTAAAATGAATATATCCATGATATGTGATCCATGTATGACCTACACAAAATAAGAGCAGAGAACCCCTAATCTTTTATAAGCATCACAGGTGTCTAAAATGTGCTTTGTTTAGGGTTAAGCTAAGTTTTTCAGCTTATTTTAAATCACTGTTTGATATTTTTAGGTACTAGTAGTGACCAACACGAGGCGGACAAGAGCAGTCAGGATGCAGCAACCAGTGATGCAGCAGCCAGGAGGTCAGTACTAGTATAGTAGGGGTAAAGCACTAACACTGGTCAATTTACTAACTAGAAGCCAAATGCTAAAACTGAATTAAGTTGGCTAAACCAAGGACATATATTCAATATACGTCCTTGGCTAAACAAAATGGGGGTGATTTGACTTGTTTTAGTCATATTTAATTCATTTGAAGAAGAAAGTACTTGTGATAGAAAAGTAATTTAGTAGTGACTTGGCTAGGTGAAAAAAACTGCTAGTGCTGTCCCAGTTTTGTCAAATTGGACAGTTTTTAAAATTAAATGGGAGTTGTAGATGAGACAGTGAGAGAGAGACTTATCTTCATTACCAATCACTGATTTAACCAAGAAGCCCAAACTTATTTTTCAAAAGTGGGAAATTCATGCCAGGGGAATTTTTTTTTTCAAAAGTGGAAATTTATGGTAAGTAGAGAGTCTCTCCCTCTCTCTCTCTTTTTTTTCCAGATTTTGTGCTTAGATTGGTCTTTATATTAAGCATCCTACAATGTCCATAAGATTAATTTTTGTCAGTCTGCATTTCATTTCTTATTTATTAGATTTTTTATGGCTTTATTACAGCTACTGTATAGATCTGTGGACTGTTACACCTAGAATAATTTCACAAGGTCTATGTTATTTCAACACGGAAACATTATCCTTGACATCCTATCCACCTGCTTTGCTGCTTTTCTTTTCTTTATCAGCATTTTAAAGTGAATTTATCATATTCTTGACCAGGATGTGGCTTTCAAGCGAAGTTAAAGAGTGTGATAAGACCATTTCTTATACATCCTGCTTTGAACGTTTTGTTTTTCATGTGTAAGAAAAAAAATCCAAGACTTCCTCTTGGTAACTATGTAAAAATGCTTGGGAGCTGCATACTGTTCTTGCAGTTTGTTATAAATCTAGAGGACCTACTGCAGGGGTGGATCCAGAGATATTTTCTGACAGTCTTCCAAATTATCTTTGTTGATCCAGCCTCCATTTTTGACCGTCTTCCGAGAGAAAAAGTTAGATACCCATCAATGAAAACTTGAAAATCTGACCGTCTTCCGGAAGACCCAGAAGACGGCCTGAATCCGCCACTGTACTATTAACTAGTATGTTCCAATCTTTTTTCTTTTCTTTTTTAATAGACCTTATTCTTGAACACCAAAATGTGGATAATGTTACTGACATGTAATCAAAGTCACTAGGGTGGAAAGCGGCCACACCCTTTTGCATGAAAAACCATGACAATTTCCTAAATAGTTGCAATCATAAAAACTCTTTTCAAAATACACATTATACTAGTATGAGCTGTCTTTGTTATCTAGACTTTTTTCCTATTGAACAATGTGCTACATAAGGCAAAAGAGGGACATCCATTCCTTGACCTAGTTTTGTTTGAATTTTGTACTCTCAAACCTGTTTGAAACTTGATCACAGATTTATCATCGGTAGCTAAAGGGCCATGCCCCCTTCCCCCCCCTCCCACCCTCCCCGATCTTCTTCCCTTTGGGTCATCTTTATATGATTAAAGTGAAGGCTTTTTTTATGTACATGTATTTTTCATGTTTTAATTTACTAGCTTCTAATTTTTACCATTAGAGTGAACATTAATTATTACTAGAACAATAGACTTTCTTTCAGAATATGTTATATATCAGAATGAAATTTAGTGACTGTGGCCTAGAGTACTTTAATAGGGTTGGGTTTGCTTAACCTTATACTGAATAAGCAAATATACATTATATACTATTCTTAATGTACTAGAACTAAGATTTCATCAGTTCTAGTTTTTCCTGTTTTTTTCTGTAGTCACAGTGGATGATAAGGTATTGCAGATTATTTCATATATCATTTCATTTGCCTTTGGTTCTAGGTCAAATATTTTCCTTGATAAAAATAAACAGGGTGCCATGATGTCCATGTGAATGTACTGAGATTTCATCATTAGTCATATTTTTCTGTTTTTCTATCTTATATCACAACAGATTGAAATTTGTTTTATATATATTATTACCTCTGACAAGGATGCGAGGTTTTGCTTGTCATTTGTTTGTCTGTAGAAAGCATTACTAGTATGCAAAAAGTCTTGAATAAATTTTGATGAAATTTTCAGGATGGGCCACAAATGGGCTAAGTAGGAAATGGTTAGATTTTTGTGATAGTCCATTAATTGATTAATTAATAATTTATATTTTCATGCCAGCCCCTGGGGGATGGATGGTGCAGCCCCAGGTCCCCGTTGGCTGTCCTCCTGGTCTGGAGTACCTTACTCAGGTAGACCAGGTGCTAGTCCATCAACAGACAGAGCTGCTGGAAGGTAAGACTAGGCTCTGTTCACATTCAACTTGAGCCGGGCCTAACTGAGCCATGGCTCAAATATGGCCCAACCCACTTGAAAGCATGCTATTAGTAAGGTATAAATTATTGCTCTACCCCTGTAGGGATGGTGCGTGTGGAAGGTGGGAATCCATTGTGAAGTGCATGCCATATTTGATGCAAAGATCAGTTGCTCCACAGATCAACTGATTGTGAATATCCGTAAGCTTAGGCTCTTGTTTTTGTAGACAACCTATAAAAAGGATTACAACTGTTCTTATGACATTCACATTTCACAATGAATACATTAAAAGGCTTACACACACTTACTCATATGTGATGTAAATTTATGATATATTTATTGGGATGAAGTACTACTACTACTTCCACAACTTTTAAGAACCTCTGTTTCTGTAAATTACTCTATGGTCAAGTTGCAACCTAGTGTTAAGGGAGAATGCAGCACTGTTGATATTAATTTAATGATGATCCATTGGCAGACATTGTTATTCAAGAAGTAAATCCCAAACTTAATGTATATATATATATATATATATATATATATATATATATATATATATATATATATATATATATATATATAATATTGTGTTTTGAACCTCGTCGTTGCAGCATTTACTGGTTTTGAGACCAACAACAAGTACGAGATCAAGAACAGCATGGGACAGAGGGTCTACTTCGCCGCAGAAGGTGAGATAGTCACTAGTACTTGTCAGGGTGTGATTGGAAGTTGAATCTTATTTGAGAGAGAGAGAGAGAGAGAGAGAGAGGCAAACAGCATGGGACAGAGGGTCTACTTTGCCGCAGAAGGTGAGATAATCACTAGTACTTGCGAGGGTGTGATTGGAAGTTGAATTTAATTTGAGAGAGAGAGAGAGAGAGACGAAAAGCATGGGACAGAGGGTCTATTTTGCTGCGGAAGGTGAGATGTGTGGGTGAGATGATCACTAGTAGGTGTGACTGGAAGTTAAATTTAGAATTTGGATTACAAGAGTTAGAGAGAATATGGAGGAGCTCTAGTTCTGTGTTGTAGAATTAAAAGGAATAAGGGAGTGTAAAGTGTATGCTTTGCGAAGAGAAAGTTTTGGGATATTTCAAGCCGAAATCAAAGAATAGTAGTTTGAATATTCTCCCCCATTAGTCTAGAGAAAGTTCATGTTGAGTGAATGTATTCTTTGTTAATGTAGTTAAAAACAAAAGATTTATTACTTTGTTTTCTTAACAGAAAAGGACTTGGGGATGTCATTTTGCCAGATACAATCATTTGCGTTGATCAATGCAAACCCCTTTGATTTTTCATATTGATTGATTCATATTTTTCATGTTGCTTGTGATGTCCTGAAAATTGTCAAGTATTATTTGTGCTTTGTAACAAACTAACCTCTGTAATGGCTTGTTTTCCGTCTGCACCTGAAAGCTGGTGGATGTTGTTCGTGTTGTAATCGTAGCTGCTGTGGCTCAGCACGCGGGTTTGACATCTGTATCGTGGACACCAGCGGGCGTGAGGTCATCCATCTAAGACGCCCCTTACGCTGCAGCACGTGTTGGTGTCCATGTTGCTTACAGGTAGTGGTTGCTTTTCGTTGAGTGCTTTGTTGATGTTGCAAGGTGTTGTCTTGATGTTGAAGAGTGTTGCTTTGATGTTGGAAAGCACTGTGGTAATGTTGCATATTATGTTGTGTTGATGTTGTGGAGTATTTTGTTTGGTTTGGTCTTATGTTGTGTTGGTTTTGAACTTATTTAATTGCATTGTCTTAATTTCAGAAGAGAGTTATTTATTTGCTAGATGTTATTTGCCTCCCCGCAGTCTCCACTCTTCAGATGTCACTTGTATCAAGACAAGCCGCATCCCGATTTATTTATTTATTTATTTATATAATTGATGTTTTGTATACATTTTTTAGACACTGATTGCTGCACGCGGAACATTTGTGGAAACGGTCGACCATTTGACATGAAAATCATGGACAATGTCGGTAAAGAGGTCATCCATTTATCCCGTCCCTTGAGATGCAGCACTTGCTGGTTTCCATGTTGTTTACAGGTACAAATGAACAAAAATGCTATTTGACTGCATATTTCAGAACCTTTTTGCAGTAAGGCTAGGCCCTTGTAAGTAAGTTAAACATTTTTGTATTACTTAAGAGGACTTAACCTAGTGTTTAAATACAATAAGCGTGTATTGGTTTCTTTTTTGTTTACAGGTAAGAAAAGCTAAGAAACAAACAAGCAAATCATAATACTTATAGTTTGTTCTTAGAAAATTCAACTTTCCCTTAAAAAAGTTGAACAAATTTGATTTGAAGATTGCTGTTTTATTTTTTCTGTGTTATTTTGCCTAATTTTTTAATTTGTATTTGTCTATTGGGGTGTATTGATGCAGTGGATACTTCTTATTGAAATGTAGATTTGTATCAAATTCATGAGAATGCCTTTTTCTTTTATTGCAAAATTCTATCAAAAATAATGTAAGTAATATTAATGATTCAGGACCTACTGAATGGAGAGAGATAACTGAAAAAGTATAACCATAAAATCTTATGTTTAAAATATGCTTGAATTTTTATGACTGATCAATCATTATATTATAAAAGAGAATTGCATCTGCTAGCTATACACTGTAGAATTGCAAATTAAATCTACACGAAGCTCTACTAATTGATTATCAGTTTTCAAGATAATTGGAATAATTTTTATAGCCTTTATAGAGAGGAACAACAAAGGGAAACGAAAGCCCAATTTGATGTCTCATTCTAACTGAATTGTTTGCTTTTCCTGTAATGATCTCTTCCTAGTATTGCTATTTATTTATTTATTTCCCCATAGAGAGTCACCGTGGAGGCTCCCCCAGGCCAGGTGATAGGCTATATAAAACAAGCCTGGAGTATTTGCAAGCCCAAGTTTTACATCCAGAATGAACATGGAGACGACATCCTCAGAATTGACGGCCCCTGCTTTACTTGCAACATCTGTGGAGATGTGCAGTTCCAGGTAATACATTTAATACGGAGAATTTGGGCCCATTCAGAAAAGGGGACTAACTAGTCCAAGGGTCAAATATGGCAGACCCACTATTCAGTGTCTATTTGCAGATTAGATGGCAAACTTCATAGTGTGTTGCCATATTTGACCCTTGGACTAGTTAGTCCCCTTTTCTGAATGGGGCCTATGATAGTAACTTCCCTCTACCTAGCAAAGATTATTCCCTAGTGGTATCCTGAAGATCAGAACTCTGATGACAGCTAACATCTGCCCAGTGTAAGACCACATTCACATTCAGACATTGTACCGGCTGGATTGATCCAACTCTGCAGGGAATTCTGGCTAAATTGCAATCAGTGTAATCAGCTTAATTGTCTGACACACCTCCTTGAGTGTCTGGGAGGTAATTAACCACTCTGTACACTCAGCTTAATTTTCCCCTAACAGCTTGAGGTGTGTCAAATATTTAAACCAATAACAGTGATTGCAGTAAGGGAGAATCTCCCGTAGATTTGGATCGATCCAGCTAGTAAGATAGGTTTATCCCTTTGATAGGTTTATCCCTTTAGGTTTATCCCTTTGCCTTTTCTAGGTCCTGTCCAAGGACGGGAGCGCCCAGGTGGGTCAAATCTCAAAACAGTGGTCAGGAATCGTCAAGGAAATGTTCACGGACGCTGACAACTTTGGCGTGTCTTTCCCCATGGATCTGGATGTGAAGATGAAGGCAGTCATGTTGGGAGCCGTTTTCCTAATTGTGAGTATTCTGCTCCATAGGTGGCGCTGTGGTGCATATAATCAGCTTACCAGCATAAATGTTTCTGATAAATGAATCCAATGTTTTTGTTGTCAGAATACGAGAAATTAAAAAAAATATTTTTAAATGAGAGCACTACTTGGTACATAGTACATTGCATACATTTGGAAATCATTATAGGAAAGGATAGTGTCCTCAGTTTGGGGATATTTTTTAGTATGGAAAAAGATTTAATCCTTTATTTTTAGTGAAAAGAATGTAGAACTAAATGTTGAAAAGGAATTTTTCAAAATGGGAGCGTCAGAAGGGATTTTATATACATGTCAATTATTTTTTTTACCATCCCTGTTAGCCTTTCTGAACATGTTCTCACGTGTCAATTAGGGTCATGAATGATATTTTCATTTTAAATTTTTAGTTTTTTTGTTGTTAAAAGTTTATTTGTTACCTATTTGAGTTGATTAGAATTTACATTTTGGTTTAGGACTTCATGTTTTTTGAACAATCTGGAGGTGATAAAGAGCAGCAAACTGTAGGAATGCTCTAGTGTCACAGGTAAAGGTCAAGGTGAAGGTCAACATCCTCTTCCCAAGGATCCTACTTTTAACTGTTAAAATATACTTATGGTTTATTTATTTATATAGCTATTGTTTGCATGGGGCAATATGGCTTATATGTAATTATTGTTTGTTTTGCAGCACATAGGGGTTTGCATGTTTTTCATTGTTTTATTTTAATGACCGTTATATATTGATTATGTCACAGTGCACAAAAAACTAGCAAAGCTTAATCACCACAACTATTTCTTAGGAACTGGAGCTTCTTTGGGTATCTGACTGTTGCTTCAGCTTTTATAGTTTCTAGGAAACATAATAAATGTGGTGGGTTGTTTGTATAATATTCAAAATGTAGCTGCACAGCTCTCTGCTTCCAGATGGTACTGCATTAAAAATCTTTTTATCTCTTCTTAAAAAAGAAAGACTTTTCATCTCTCATGCTTCTTTTCAGTGGTTTATGGACTTGATTTCTTTTGCTTGTACATCAACATATTCAACTGATATATGTGCTCAAATGGTATTATAATGTTTGCAGCAGTTATGTCATTATCCTTTTGCAGCACATTTCATACCTTTGGTCATTCTGTATTTCACTTTCTCTCAGTATTATACATCTCCAGTGTATTTTTCTCTCATCTACACTTTTCTTTATCCAGGATATGAAACAGCTAAAAGAGCTGGACACCATTATCATTTCAGTCTTCTCTCTATTCGCTGTATCATTGCTTCCATGGCTGTATATTTCAACTGTTTTCCTCTATTCTAAATCTTCCTTGTTTTTCCTTTCAACTTTTCTTCTACTGTGTAGGACATGATGTACTTTGAACAGAATACAGATAAGGCCAAAAGAGGGGGACACCATCACCACTAAGCCAAGAAGACACTGTCAGGTACCTTCTGGCAAGGAATGCTGCAGCTCTGTTATAACAGCTGTTTCTGAAGCATTCAGCATTGCATGGCACTTTTATATGCATCATGCTCTGGTGATTCCCCTCCTCCACCCCCTTCCACTTCCCTGCCACACACACACACACACACACACACACACACACACATCTTTCACACTCTTCATTAAATTGGTTATGGTATAAGCTACACGCATATGTTGATACAGACTCCCCTCTCTTCTAGATCAGAATTGCATATGTACATACCCTAGTGTCGAAAAGGGTTTTAAGATTTCTGAAGCCCTCAGTGGCCCACAGAGGTATTGCAATATTGCCCAAAGTGCACATTAAAAAAAAACAAACTTTGTTCATGACAGTAAGAGCAAGGGGTGAAAATTGTCCGTAAGCCTTATTGGAATACTTTGAACCTGCCTGCAGGCAATCTGCTAACACATGTTCAGCAATGGACACCTTTCATTTCCAACCCCCATTGTGACCTACTTATTTGTAGCATGGTTGAAAGGACATAGGTGACCACCTATGACCTGACCTAACCTGACCTAATTATTGCATCCTTTTTTCCTTTCAGGACTATATGTTCTTTGAGCAGGCAGGGGACAAAAAGCAAGACAGTGTTGGAAATGTTATCTAAATGATTCTGCAGACAGCTTCCATTTGAAACACTATTATTGCAGGCATGAATGAATAAATTGTGTGATTAGTGCAAAAAGCAAATTGGTCAGAATAGAAGTAAAATAAATGATATCTGTGTACATCATTCAACAAATAATTAATGGACTAGCATTAAATAAATGCAAAGTGATCATTTAGCGCCAGTAATCAAATTTCAAAAAGTCACGAGGAAAATATAATAGTAAGCAGCATGTAAATTTTGTCAGTGGGACATTTGTAGAAAGTTAGATGCAAAAGAGGCCAGTTATAATTTTACTTTTTTTTTGTCTTTTTAACAAAGAACAGAGTCACACAAGAAATGATGAAACTTGCATATTTGGCCAGAAAACTTCAAACCAGGATTATTAAAAATGATATATAATTTTATATTGCCTTTTATGTCTATAATGGTTTACTACTGTTACTACTTAGTTTGTATACTTTTATAACTTCAAAGTTTCTGAAAATGGGCAGGGTTCAACATGCTTGAAATGTTTTAAATATTTAAAATTGAAATAAATAGATAATAACACCACATAGGATTAGTGCAGTGTCTGTTGCTTTGGTCAAGATGTTGATATTACATTGTATGAATGTAAGCCTACAAATCGCAAAATTAAGTTATTTTTCAAAAAATAGAAATATTGTTATTAGGTCAATTTAAATAAAACATCTTTTGAACCACCATACACAAGTTATAATCGGAATATATCTGAAAGTATTAAAGTTATTCATTTGACAATCTTAAGATACAAAGAATGCTTTTGTATTTAAAGAGATTTGTAGACAACTAAGAAAAATATGTTTGAAATTAAAAGAAAATCGAGCCTTGCTAAAAATGAGGTTAGTATAAAGTGTGCCTTTATTATTAGAGTGAAGCTATTTGAATGTTCTTCACATTCAAATCTCTTGTGTGATCATAAAATGCAGTGTAAGCTTGTACTAGAGTCTAATTTAGTCAGTCTACCCTTTTCTCTGTTTATTTGATACATTTTAAGCTTCTTATTTCCACTTAACTTCAAAATAACCTCTCACTGTTTCATTATCATCTTTTCCTTTTTTGTGGTCAAAACACGTTTTTGTGTATAATGAAATAAGTCATTTTTGGAATATTTTAAGTTTGTTCCAGTGTTGCATTGTGGGTGGGACGGGTTGGTCAAAATGTTCCCATTATAGCCCTCATAAGTTCTGTTCCTACTAACAGTTTTACTTCAGGTTCTTGAATTTTCTCTCTCGTCTTCTTAAGTTTCACTATTCCAGTTTTGACTTCAGTGTTGGCTTCAGTTTGGCTTCAGTTTTGCACTGAGTAAATCTGAACACTTTTGCAGTTGCCTTTTATTCAGGGTGTAATTCAGTTTCTTAATGTCTTCTCACTTTTTCAGAATATTAATCAACTGTAGACATAAAATTGTCTGGATATCATTTTGAAAGTTGATGTACTTTTATCTCACGTGTAGTAATTCAGATCCAACTTAACTTAATGCCACCTAACAATTTCAGATTCATTAACACTTATTTCAGATTTAACAATATTGATACTTTGTGATTTTACAGCTCATTTGATTAAAACTTTTCAGGTGTCATAATTTTATTAAATTTTCTTTAAGTGTACATATAACTTTATTCCTGAAACTGTTATAAAAATTTTTTCAACAATCAGTGTACAGTGATGTTGATTTTGTGCTTTGCATTCATAATATTTTTCATATGATTTTGTTGGAAAAAATGGGCTGATATGTTGACATTTTCTGTTTTCTGTTTCTAGGATTACATGTTCTTTGAGAAGTCACAGAATAAAGAAGAGGCTAAAGTTGGAATGGCATAAATGTTCCTTCTGATGGTGAAGAAAATACAAAACACTAGGTGGCTTCAGACGTTCTACTAGATGGCAGCAGTGTTGCTTACCCTAAGAATCATAGGCCTCATTGTGACCTTTCACCTTATTTGCTGCTACAATAAACTCTGTGAAACATGGGGTAAACCTACTTTTGGTGTTGTCAATAAAATGCAGTTTCTTTTGAAATGCCAAATACCCTCTAGGTTGCCTTATTATTTTAAATCAATAACTTAAAACTTTTATTTTAAAAATAAAGATGATGCCATATTCTCAAGTCTGTTTATTTTTATATTGAAATATGAAAATGTTGAACTAATTTGCAGTCTCTTAGTTTGATTTGGCACATAAAGTTTAATACAATTATTATATATTTAAAAAAAAACATGAATATTGCAGTTGCGTGCCAAGTTAATTATTTGGGCATTATTTGGATTGATGATTTGTAACAAAAGGTAAAATATTGTTTATTATGCTGGAAAGGAATAGATTAATTATTATTATTACTGATTTTGAAGTCTTAATATGCATTTTTCTCTAATATCTAATCTAGGAGTTTTCTGTAACAAATGATGTAATATCAGGTTATTCAGATCTTTATAACTTAGTCTGTTGGTGTCAAGCTATAAGTTTAAGTTGTCTGTTATTTTAATTTACATAATTTCTATAATAGTAAGAAAATATTTGTTACTGTACCAGTTTTTGCACACTGAAAAATTGGAGAGAAGCGGGGCACAGAAGAAAAATATTAATGTTTTAGTGCATAAAGGACAGATAGGAATATTGAAAGGCAATGTAAAATGAATAATCCATATCCAGCTTGTGTATAATGAATGTTTTTATCCTAATAGCTTTGAAAACTATATCAGTGTGTTTGTCTCATTTGCCTTCCAATGTAAATATCAAGGCTTATTTTTAAAATAATTTTTATGAAAAAAGGGAGCAGAAATCTAACACTTTTCTATTTTGTATGTGTAACTTTTAATCATTGGGACACTTGAAGTTTGGCCCTGCCTTCACGATTATTATAGGCTGCCATTTTAGCCACAAAAATCTCAAAAATTTTAGAAAAGCATGGTTTGCGACATAAACAAACTGAAGTGTGGGAAAAATATAGAAACTTCTTGTAAATTAAAACTAACTGATGCCTTGTAGGCTGAATGCAGGGAAAGGAGGTAGATAATTAAATTTAATAAGAAAAAATTGGAATCGAGTGTTTTGCGTGTCTTAAATAGGAATGCAGTCTGTCCCAGCCATACAATGTGGGGTGCGTGACAGCTGTGAAAAAAGTACAAAGTTTGTTTATTTTTTAGCTTTTCTTGTAAAGAGGGTAAAAAGGAATGTGTTAAGGTAAGAATAAGTGCTATTATTAGTTCATAAAGTACATTATATCTTCAACAGATCGTATATAAAATAGTCATAAATTGGTCCATCTTCAGAATTTCCATGCATCCTACCTACAGAAGTCTCCATTCCACCCTCGATCTGTTAGATCTTTAAGTAGTCCAATCCAGACTTCACATAGTTTATTATTATTACCTCCACTAAAAAACGTATGTTTTTGCCAGTTTTGATTTGTCTGTCTCTTTCAATAATTGTAGTAACAATATGGAAGGAAGGATTTTGATTGATTTCTTAGGAAAGGCCAGAATTAAAAAGAAAGAAATGTTCATTATTGTATCATAATTAATTAATCTCCTGCTCAAGTTATGGAGTTATTGCCTTAAAACAATACAGATTTTTGTGGAATGAAATATTTGTTTCTCATTATAATATTAATTATATGTATGTTTGTTATATACCCTTCAAACCAGTCAAGTTGCATGCATATATATTTTCTTGCATTAATTATCTTTATATTTTGTTGAAATGAAAGTGAATAAAATGGAAATATATTTAAACTGATAAAATATAAAACTTAAAATGATAACAAATACAATTAGTTATAAGTATCAGTTCATCCAGAATATTACTTTAATTTTCTGGTAACTACTCATACTTACAATTAGAAAAGTTTTATAGTTTTTATTGGAATATTTTTTCTCCACAACATTGCAAATTCTTAATATTTTTTCTAGCCGTTTGAAAACAACATGTATCAGAATTTTTTAAAAATCATTTACAGAGGTATTGTGGCTAATGTTGTGTTGATAGCTGCTTTCTTGTCTACATGTAGTTGATTTTTTGAGTTGATGCTCCTGTTTGATGTTGTAACAATACTTGATATAATCATTGGTCTGAAAAAAAATTGCAATGCCTTTCTTAATTGTTTAAAAATTGTTTTACATCTTGTACATAAAAAATTATCTAATGTAAGTTTAGCTGTACTTTGTTAAATTAGACCTAATGGATAAATAAATTCATTGCTACAGATATGTGTAACTTGTTTTTATTGGTCTAACATCGGTTTATTTTTAGTCTCTCTCTCTCTCTCTCTCTCTCTCTCTCTCTCAAACAACAAATTCTACAGTATTGCTAAATTAAACTAAATGGTTATGTCTTACACATACCATTTTAAATAAACGATTAAACATGACCAGACGTCAATACGTTAATATGAAAACATTAAGGGAAAAAAGATTGCCTGAATGTCCATTTGTCAGATTCGGCGCAATCAGGGATCCCCGTGTTGTGAAATTGGCGCAACTATCGCAATGTCGCTTAGCAACAGCGTTCTGCATGGCCGCCATGTTCTTTTACTACTGGAAAGCAGAAGCATGAGAGAAGCTTGTAAACAGATTGCATTAATGATTTTAAAGGAACTTTGAATCAATATCATGAACAGGAAGGCGAGGTAAGAATGTGAGGTTGATACAGATGTAAACTGAGTCTCTTGTTAGACAAAACTTTGGCTGTTATCCAGTGATTCTTCAATCACACGACGTTTGCTCGCCCCGTTTGCTCAAGCACCTGTCCTTCGGTCTCCTGCATTTATTTAGTGACAGGGAATCAAAAATGTTTTGGAATTAAACAAGGCTGTATTTATATCGATATTATTTCCTCTATGAGGTACTGATTTACTAAAATTGATTATCATATTGATTAAAACCTTCAGAATTTACATGCATTGTTTGTGATAGAACGGGGATTTCAATATTGGATCTGATATATTTCATATTTCAAAATCAAAATTAAATTGAAAAAAAAAAAAATCCATGTGTTACTACAAAATGAATTTATTCCTGAAATCATGAGTATTGATAAATTACATCTTCAAAGTATTGTAAAAAATAATTTATGTACCAGTATTACATGTATATAGGGTTTGAAAAACAATCTAATGCCTGAAATTTAAAACAAGGGAGGTTTTCTAGTCTGAGAAGAGGAGTTATAGGCAGCCCGTACAAAATATAGTAATGTTAAATCCTCATTTCAGCTAGTATAGAGACATTTAGCACCAGTCATGTCCAGCTACGCCCTTCCGCGGCTCATCTCTGCGGCCAGGGAGAACACGTCATCCAGTATAGGCTACAAGAGTGGAGCATCGTACAGTGGAGATGTAGAAAATAATAAGAAGGTCGGGCGAGGTCTGTTTGTGTGGCCAAGTGGGGCACGCTACGAGGGGGATTTCTCTGATGGTCTGAGGACTGGGTCAGGTAGGTCACCAGTGTGCACATATTGTATTGGGGGGGGGGGGGGGGGG